TGGTGGGGCGAGGTAGGGGGGCGGAGCACAGGCAGATGGAGGAGTTTCAGGTCTCCGATAGAGCGCCCGAGAACTTGGCGGAGGGCAAGCGCGTCCGAGGGAAAAGGATCGACGACGAGCGCTTCGATGAGGACGGCGAGGAGTCGGTCAGATCGCGCTTCGTGGCCACGCAGTTCGCCTGGGACGTGCGCGACTACGCCTTCGCAGGCACTCCGCCACGTGCAGCGGTCAGGCTGGTGGTCTCCTTCGCTTCAAGCCTCTACTCCACGGGGTCCAGCTATGACGGCATGATCGCGCTCTACGACGTGTCGGTGGTTTTCTGTCACGCGTACATTATTGTGGACATCCGCGTGGTCCCACCTCGCTGAGAGGAACCAGAAGGCATCGTCTACCAGCTGAAGCGTGCTCTCGTCTGCATGAGACGCGCATCGTTCCTAGTCCAGAACCAGATCATGGAGGTCATCGAGAAGGGCGGATTCACGCGCATCAAGGTGATGGTGCAGGTCTACTACCACACGGAGAGGCTGCTGATGGTGATCGTGCACGGGGATGACTTCTTGGCTGGAGGAAGGAGAGAATCTCTGGGCTGGCCAGACGAGTTGGCAAGGGGACACTTCAAGGTCAAGGTGGCGCCGAGGGTAGGCAGCCCTCGGCAAGGAGGAGTCGAGTCAGGGAGCTTCCTCGAGTTGACGGCGACGTGGTGTTCCGAAGGGTTCGGTATCCAGCACGACCGCAAGCGCGTGGAGACCCTGGTCAGCACCATGGTGAACAGGAAGGTTGGTGAGGGCAAGCAGCACGACGTGGGCGATCACCCCCTCCTCCAAGACCATTGGGAAGGACTGCAGGGAGTCATCGGACGAGCTCAGCACGGAGTACGCGACCACCTACCGCAGCATGGCGCCCATTGCCCTGTGCGTGGCTCATGACCGAGTCGGCATCCAGCAAGCCGTGGGATACCTGATCGGGGACATGGTTGCACCCACCTGGCACCGCTGGCTACTATTGCAGCGGCTGGCGAGCTACCTGGAGCAGCACCCGCAGTTCGAGCTCTTCCTCGAGTGCCAGAGGATGCCCAAGGTGATTGTGGCGGAAGTCGACAGCGAGTGGGCGTCCGAGCTTGGTCGGAGGTCCGTGGGCGGGGGATTCCTGTTCATCGGCTCGCACCAGATCGACGGCTGGAGCGGCCAGCCAGGCAATCGCACGCTGAGCATCGCGGAGGTGGAGTTCACAGGGATCGTGAACGGCTCGGCGAGAGGCATCTGGTTGAGGAGCGCGATGCTGGATATGGGGTTCGAGATGACCCTGCAGGTAAACGCCGACAGCTCCAGGGCCAAGGGCATCGTATCACGCTTGGGAAGCGGGCAAGCGCGCCACCTGGACACGAAGCACTTCTGGCAGCAGGAGAAATCCAGGGACAAGACGATCGCGATGGCGAAGATCCGCGCGGACACGAACGGGGCCGACATGCAGACCGAGCCGCTAGAGGGGCCGGGAGTCCTGAAGTTGCTGGCGATGCTTCCACTTCGCGCGCCGTCCTCAGGGCGCGCGCAGGTGTTCGGAGCGATGTTGGCGGCGACAATAATTGGCGGAGTTCAAGGAATGGAGATGGCCCCTGCGAGCCAGGCGGCGATGGTGATGGGCAAGCCCGACCGCGATGGAGCAGGTCTTGACGACGGCCATCACGGTGATCTTCGGATCGACGCTGGCGGTCGCGTTCCTGTCCGCGTGGATTGGCCACCGCGTGCACAAGGCCACAATGTGGTTGCTGAAGGGGCTCTGGGAGCTGGTGAGGGACGACGACGGCCAGGTCGCCCAGGTGGAGGCCCCACTTGGAGAGGGGCATCTAGCGACCGTGGAGAGCGGCATCAGCAGACACACGCAGACGACTCCGATCAAGCACTACTGGGCGTGGAGTGCGACGGAGCTGCGCGAGGAGCGCCTGCGCTTGGGCATCTATCGAGGACAGATCAAGTTGCAGATGATCGAGGGCCTGCTTAACGGAGCAGGCCGCAGGTGAACCCTGCTTGTGGTGCAGGAGCACCACACTACAAGTGCTCGACTTGCCGTGCTGGAGCGCGCGCCGCCTGTTTGACAAGGACCCTCCTCGCCAGTAGCTCGAGGACGCGAGGAGATGAAGCCCAGCGTTGAGGCGCTGGCCCTCAGAGGATGAACTAGATAGGCCCGCGGGCACAGGTGCCGGATCTTGTTTGTGCTAGAGTGTCCCCAGACGGTTTCTGTGCAGTAAGATGGGCCCCAGGCTAAGCCCAGGGCCCAAGGAGGATTGCAGCACAGAAACACCTCCCTAATCAGTATGTGGTATGCTACGAGTACGTCTCTAGGAAAGCGACCCAGGAGTTTCTATCGGGTTTCACACGGGTTTATGTTCGACCGCTTGATGCATCCGCGACCGTTCTGGCCTTAGCGCCCTGAGGTGAACAGATCATCGAGGGTGTGGGCCTTGCGGGGCCCACTTCGACCTCGGAACGCTAGCGCGATTCCGCGGACTCCTCCCTCCGCCTCCTCATCCTCATCATCCTCATCATCCTCCTCCCTCCTCCTTCCCCGCTGCTCCTCCTTCTCCTCCTCCTCCTCCTCCTCCTCTTCCTCCTCCTCCTCATCTTATCCCTGCGTTGCAATTTTGCCGGGCTGTGCCAAATTGGGGCCACCACTCGGGGAGTCACCAGCTCATCCTGAGGATCGGGGTTTCAGGATCGGGGCTCGAGGAGATTTTGGGCGCTCGAGGAAACAGCGTTTCCCTAAGGCGGTGGCGACCCCCCTTGGTGGTGACCTATCTTGACACCGCCTGGTTTTACCACGCTTGAAGTGGAGTTTTGCGGTGTGGATTGTTGACGCGTTGTTGTTGCGTTGCGTTCTTGCGCTGTTGGTGTTGTTGGTGTCTCTGCTGCTCCTGCTGCTGCGGTTGTTGCTGTTGCTGTTGCTGTTGCAGTTGCTGCTGTTGCTGTTGTTGGTGATGGCGTTGCGGTTATTGGTGGTTTTTTGTTGTTGTTGGCGCTGTGATTGTTGCGGCTGCTGTTGCTGTGGTTATTGCTGGTGTTGCTGCTGTTGCTGGTGTTTACTGTTGTTGGTGCTGCTGTTGTTGCTGGTGTTGTTGTTCTCTGTTGTTGGTATTGTGGTTGCTGTGTTTGATGGTGGTGTTGCGACTGCTGCGGATGTTGCTGTTGCGGCTGTTGGTGCTGTTGTGGTTGATGTATGTATGCGTGTTGGACTTGCGGTTGTTGTTATGGTTGTTGTTATTGTGGAGGTTGTTGTTGTTATTGTTGTTATTTAGTGTTAGTTGTATTGATAGTGTTGCTGCTGGTGTGGTTGTTGTTGTTGCTGCTGTTGTTACTGACGTTGGGGTTGCTGTTGTTTGTGATGGTGATGGTGTTGATGTTGTTGGTATAGTTGGTGTGGTTGTTGGTGGTGGCGTTGTTGCTGTTGTTGGTGTTTGTTTGTGTTGTTGTTGTTGGTGTTGTTGGTGCTGTTGTTGTTGTTGTTGTTGTTGTTGTTGTTGTTGAATGCTCATCTCCCAAGAGCACATCTAGTTGATCCTTGTCTTCTGGTCGCCATTGTAGCTGTTCAATTCATGTGCCTGTCCACGGGCTCGCATCGGTTTATTACAAAAGGGAAAGCGAGGGGTCACCAAACTTGTTTTTGGCTCCGAACTACGGCAACGGCTCCCGCCTGCTATTTCCTCGCATTGTATTCCCAACTCGCGCTCTCGCGCGGGACTTCCTCACAATGTATTCAGGGATCGCGCTGTCGCGTGGGACTTCCTTCCGATGTATTCAGACGCTGCGCCGTCGACAACGCTCTCGCTGTGGATTTCCTCACGATTTATTTGGAGATCGCGCTGTCGCTTGAGACTTCCTCGCGATTCATGCAGGACGCACGCTTCAGCAACCCGCCTGCCCCGTGTCTCTTCTTTCCATCCATCCTCTCTTCCCGTGCCTTCGGGGCCGCAGGAAGTACACGTTGCAGGTAATCTTGATCGTATCGCTAAGGCCGCTAATGGGGTACGATCGAAGACGAAGAAGGCGGGTATTGAGGGTTTGGGATGTACATGTTGAAGTGTACGTGGTAGATACGAGCGAACAATCTCAAACTGATGGTTGTTGTTGGTGTTGTGTTGTTATTGTTGTTGTGGGTGTTGGTGTTGTTGATGTTGTCGTTGGTGTTGTTGTTGTTGGTGGTGTCATCGCCCTCGCGCGCGACCCACCGCGCGACCCACCCGCGACCAATCCGCGACCCACCCGCGACCCACCCACATTGCTTTGACGAAAGTTCGGCGGCACCTGTGGCGGGTTTCTTCAGAGCTTCGCAGGCTGCTGACGACCCTGTCGCACCCTCACTCCGACCCGCAACTGCGGGGTGCTACGTACATACATACATACATACATACATACATACATACATATATATATATATATATATTATTCATATCTTTATATATATATATATATATATATATATATATATATATATATTATATGATATATTAACACACGTACACACTATACATACACGGCGCCACCGGTCCGGGGCCCGGGGTCCGGGACCTCGACCCAAATGTGGGACCCCGGGGCCCGGAGCTCGTCGGCCGCCGACGCCCGTCGCCAAGATCGTTCGCAGGCGCTTCTGCACACGCTCCGATGGCTCCAGAATGCCTTCCAAGACGCCTGTCTGACACCAAGAAGTCCCAGCAAGCCTCCGAGAAGCTCCGGAGAGGCAGCCAATAGAGGCCCAAGAAGCAAAATCGTGCCATTCCTATGGGAAAACGTAATATTTTTCGCATGTTTCAATGTTTCGCCTCTTGGGCTTTCCGACGTTACAGGACGGTCCAAGAGGCGCCCAAGACCGCCCCAAGACGGCCCAAGAAGCTTCCCAGAGGGCCCCAGGACAGCCCAAGAGGGCCCCAAGACGGCCCAAGAGGCGCCCAAGATGGCCCAAGAGGGCCCCAAACCGGGCCCAAGAGGGGGCCCAGAGGGGGACCACGAACCGCAAGCTCGAGCCTTCCGCCCCAAGAGGCCGCCAGGAGGCCCCCAGGAGGCCCCTCAAGAGGCCCCAGGAGACCCCCAAGAGGCCCAAAGGATGCCCCGAGAAGCCCCAAATCGGCCCCCAAAATGCTTCGAACCTGCTTCCAGGAGGCCCCCGACAGGTTCAGAGGCTCCCGAGAAGCTACGTCAAACTCCCAGCGAGCGGCCGAACGAGGCCCCCCACAAAATCACAAGAGGGTTCCAGTATTTGTATCCTTCAGCGCTCTCTGGCCTTCTTCCCCCTGCCCCCTTCCCTGCGATTTTCGTTGACTCAAGCTCGCCTCCTAGCTAGAACCTAAGCGCGCGCGAAGCGCGCGCGTGGTTCTAGTAGGATATGGGGGAAACTATAAAAATATCCCGGCAAAGCAACCTAACAGCGATGTGTAGGAACATATCTGGAAGCATCCCCCTTGGGATTCAGATGAGAATCCAGTTGTAGAATTCTGCTGTTCTCGCAGTCGTAGTCGCATTCGCGATGACAGTCGCAGTGGCAACGGCAGTCGCAGTCACAGCCTCAGCCTCCGCCTGACTCAGCCTCAGCCTCGGGGAAGCACTGCCTCCAGCCTCAGCCTCTCAGCCTCAGCCTCAGTCTGCCTGCAGCCTCGGCCTCAGCTTCAGCTTGCCGTCAGCTCAGCCTCAGCCTCAGCCTTCCTCCGCTCAGCAGCCTCAGTCCTGCCTCAGCCTGCCTCAGCCTCAGCCTCAGCCTCAGCCTGCTTCATCCTCAGCCCTCCTTTGCCTTCAGCCCTCGGCCTCCCCCTCAGCCAGGCTCAGCCTCAGCTGCATCGAGCCCCTCAGCCTCAGCCTCAGCCTGCCTCAGCCTCAGCCTGCATCAGCCTCAGCCTCAGCCTGCCTCAGCCTCAGCCTCAGCCTGCTTCAGCCTCAGCCTCAGTCTGCCTTCAGCCTCAGCCTCAGCCTCAGCCTGCCTTAGCCTCAGCCTCAGCCTCCGCCTGCCTCAGCATTCAAAATGTGGCCCGGGAGTGGGTTCTGGGAGCTCGAAGAACACGACGTGGCCTACAGTTGGCTCCGGGCATTCAAAATCATGCCCAGGAATGGAGTTCTGGGAACTCGAAGACCACGACGTGGCCAAGAGTTGGCTCCGGGCATTCAAAATCATGCCCAGGAGTGGAGTTTTGGGAACTCGAAGACCACGAAGTGGCCTACAGTTGGCTCCGGGCATTCAAAATCATGCCCAGGAATGAGTTCTGGGAGCTCGAAGACCACGAAGTGCGTTACTGTTGGCTAAAGAGGGAGTCCCCGGTTTCCAGGGGCAACCCGTCCGGATCTCGCCCAGACCCCCCTGGGGTGTCAAGATGCTCTCTTTTGACCCTACTAGAAACCTATCAGTCTTCGCTGTTAGGTAAAAATGGTCAGGGTACGATTCTTTGATTATTTTTGTTGGCTATGTCTGCGCATTGCTTTTGGCTATTTCTGGGTTTTCCTTCGGCGATGTTTCCTGAATTTCGGCCTCCAGGGCCCGTAATCGGGCCCGGGGGTCATCAAACATGGATCCAGGACGGAGAAAAGAGCACCCCTGGGAAAGGGGTGGGGACCTCTGGGGCCGCGGATTGACAAAATCATATCGGCGGATGTCTGGGTGAGACGGGGGTCAGTGCAATCGGGGGTCAGCCAGAAGGCTGAATCTTTCAGGATCCTGCAGGGCCAAGGGCGCAATGAGCAGGGCTAAGGCGCAGGATCCTGCAGGATCTCGCGGAATTCTGCAAAGCTTGGCTGACCCAGGCTTGCATTGACCCAGGTTTGCATTGACCCGGGTGTGAATTGACCCAGGCAAGTCTTAGCCTCCCAGCTGGTGTTGGAGTAGATGGGGTCGGAGGGTCTCGCCGCATCGCCGATGCGTCGTCAATGCGGCTCGGAGCCTGTTTCTCTCGACGCCGATGGCGCAGATGCATCGCCGACGTCTCCGATGCATCGCCGATACATCGCCGATGCATCGCCGATGCATCGCCGATTCA